GTAATTTTATTAACCTCTTTTTGGCCAACTAACAAAACAACTACACCAAATATCTATTTGAACATAAGTTCTGCTACGAATTCATCTATATTCCTATCAGAGCTTCCACCTTCATCAACTGCCTCTTTGGTCAATTTCTTCCACCTCTCTGAATTACTTTTGATATCCATACTTTTCTCTCCCTCCATGACTTCCCTTATACACCGTTCAATCTCTTCCTTTCTGATTATGCCATTTTCATCCATCCTAACTCGAATTCCTACCTTCCATACATCTTCAACAAACTTCGCATTAGTTGGTTGGTCTGTCCATATTGGCATTGCTACCATTGGCACCCCCAAGCTCAACGCCTCAATCGTCGAGTTCCAACCACAATGAGTTATAAAACAACCCACTGCCTCATGAGCTAGAACTCTCAATTGAGAGCTCCAAGACACTACTAGCCCTTTCTCTAATGTTTCCTCAACAAAGTTGTTAGGGAGCTTCTTTTGTTCTGTTTCTCTAACAACCCACAAGAAATAGTTGTTGCTCCTCTTCAGACCCCATGCTATTTCCTCCATTTGTTCTTCTCCTAAGGTGGCCAAGCTTCCAAATGATACATAAACAACTGATGCAGCTTCCTTTGAGTCTAGCCACTTGATGCAGGCATCCACATCCGGTTTGAATAGATTGAAACTATAGTCCTTATCATCCTCCAACCTCTTGTCTAGGTACATTGATGGAATAGTAGGTCCAATTGTCTTGATTGGTATATGGTTTGTCGCCATCCACTCGATTACCTATTAGAAACCACCAACATGTTTAGCAACATAGAAAATTTTGGCAGGACCGAGAGTGCTTAATCAAAGATAAAGTAAGATAAAATTGTGTCTCGTACTTCTAAATCTATGTAACATAAAAACTAATGCTATAGGTTATGAAAAAAATAACGTATTTCATTTTTGTACAGATTCTAAGGGCATGTTTGGTTTGGTTTTCAAGTGCTTTAGCTTTTTTGACACTATTTATGTTTCATAAATTTAAATTTTCCTCTTAAAAACTTGTATTTTTTTAATCTTTTTTTTTAACCTTAAAAAAATTTTAAACAGTAAATTTTGAAAAATTTTAAACTTTTTCTTTTCAAAAACTTTTTTTTACTCACTTTTTACTTTTTCTAAAAGCAATTTTTAAATTTTTCCTCCAATAAAAATTTGAACTTATAAAACATGAATAATGTCAAAAAAACTGAAACACTTACAAATTTCATCAAACATGCCTTAAGTCTATTGAACCTAAAATTAGAGATTTTAAAGTTATGGAATATAACATTTCTAAACTCTCACTAGTAATAATATAATCTAATATAGTAATCTAAATTTAGAACAAAACAGTTTTAACCTTTAATTTAACTTTCGAATCATACAACATAATTTAATTCTCAACAAAATTACTAAATTAATTAAGTTCCCTGACCTCAAAGAGTTTTTGGACTTACCTCATCTTCCAACTTATCAAAAGTGTTACAAAAGTTCCATCTTGCTTCTTCCAAATTTGAGAATTGAGCAATTACAACGTTGAGTAGACCAGGATATGCATATGTATCACGAGCAAACGAGGGCAGGTCAATGGCTTCCAGTATCGGCATTGAAGGCAAT